ACAACAAGCTAATTCAATTGTTATTCAAATGTACTTGTTAGGTGCTGTCGGGTCATTTCTGCCCTCAGGGGACCCTCTGTAGAATCGAATGAAACACCGCCCAGTCCTGTATCAGCCTCACAATTGCTATGATTGAGCCCATTGTTGCAACTATTGTGTCAATACTTCTCCTTGAAGGCCGTTTTATTTTTGACTGATCATCTACTTTAGGAACATGATGCCTTTTTTCCAGGGACTGGTAGTCCCTGACAGCTTGTCTAATACACAACAGGAGAAGTCTCACCATCCGCATGTCTAAGGAACATTGGGTTGTACTTAACCCAAGACAAATTTGTCTATTCTTCAGACTGTTCACAGTACTTTCAATATTCTTTGCCAACACCATAATTCAAAAACATCCATTCTTCTACCACTTTCATTTGCTGTTCAACTCTCACATGCATATGAGGTCATTGAAAATAACATGGGAAAATATCGAATGATGCAGAAAGAATAAAAAGAAGATGGAAAGAATATCCAGTCTCTTAACCCCCCCTGCCCCCCCAAAGATAAACCATTTTAAGAGGTAGCATATGATTTAAAAAACAAAAACAATGGTTTTGAAGGAAGAGTCCAAGTTGCTTTGAAGGTGTTAGCAAAGAACAAGGTTCCAGGAATTGACAGAGTGCAAATTACAATGTTTCAACAAATGTATGCAATCCTGGAACATCACTAGCCTGTGTCAAGAAATTGGGAGGACAGCTACCTATCTACCTATCTGGTCAACTGACTGGAAGAAATTTGTATGTGTACCTATTCTAAAGAAAGGTGACCCAAGAGAACACAACTTATGTAACAAAATCATTGCTACCACATGAAATAATTTTTTTTTTTGCAGAAGGTATCGCAAAGCAATTGCAGCAATCTATCCATAAGGAGTGGCAAGGAATTGAAGACAAATTTAGAAGAGGCTGCGAAACAAGGATAGCATTGCTGATGTCAGGTGTATCTTGGCTGAAAGTAGAGATGTTTACTTGTGTCTCATTTACTTTGCAAAGATATTCAACTCAGTGGCTAATAAACTCTGGATAGCATTGTGAGGAATGAATTAGTGAATTATTAATTCATTGTGCTCATTCAGAACCTGTAATAGACCCAGAGGCAGAACACAACAGGAGAATGCTGTGTGTCCATTAGTTCTGTAGTATTTAATCATACTTATATGGTAAAATATGCCTGTATACTGAGCAAATAATGTAAGGATCTGGACTATCTGAAAGAGAGTGTAGCATCAGGATCGAACAAAAGTTCATTAACAACAATCATATGCTTAATATGGCCCTTCTAGCCATATTCCCCATTTTGTGACATGTTATAAATTCTAGCCTATATGCTTACAGTTGTATCCCATTTTAGACAGAGATATCTGTTACAGGCTTATGAAGGTGGGATATATTCTTTTAGTCTCTACTACAGGCTGTGACTGAAGTTTCCCTTGGGAATAGGCCTGCTGACAGACAAAAACCACACCTCCATCAAAGCCTTTCTTTTTGCAACTTCCCTTTTTCCTTACTGAATGTCGGTAGAAGCAAGGGACCTGTGTTGACTTTCAGACGTATTGGCATCTGGCTCTGGATCCTGCATTTGACTTTTCTGCCTGACTTTTAGCTCTCAGGACTTAGCTTGTGGACCATCACTGCCCTGCACTTGAGGAGTTTCCTCCAGACAAATGTCTGAGCTTTGGCTTTGGGATGTAACATCACTCGCAGGCACAGGATCCATCCCACTGATGCTTCATGAGTTCTGTGATGCGCTGCAGTGGATTGTAGGACCCAGGGACATGAGAGAAGCTATTAAGGGAGGGCGTGTGGAAATGGAGGGGTAGAACAGCTTGAAAAAGGTGGACACTTGAGACATCTTTCATTCCCAACTACTGTGGACTGTTGTTGTTGTGCAGTGCCCTACAGTGGGTTCCGACCCATCGCACCCCTGTGCACAGTGGACTGAGACACTGCCTGCCCCTGTGCCGGCCTCACAGCCATTCCTGCGTCTGAGTCCCTGGCTGCAGCAACTGTGTCGAGCTATCTCCTTGAGGGCCTTTTTATGTCTTCTGGCCCTCTTCTTTACCAAGCATGATGCCCTTCTCCAGGGCTTAGTCTCTCCTGACTATGTCCAAAGTATGAAGTCTCACCATCCTTGTCACTAAGGAGCACTCTGGCCATACTTCTTCCAAGACAGATCAGTTTGTCCCGTTAGTGCTCCATTGCACTTTTAATATTCTTCTCCAATACCATAATCTAAATTCATTAAATCTTCCTTGTTCAATATCTAGCTTTCACATGCATACAAGGCAATTGAAAGTGCTATGGCTTGAATCAGGCCTACCGTAGTCTTCAAAGTAACACCCTTACTTTTCAACACCCTTAGAGGTCTTGTACAACAGATTTACATAATGCAACACATCTGTTGATCTGATTGCAGATCCAAGCGAGACAAAAATCCTTCACAATTTCAACCTTTGCTCCATTTATCATGGTGCTATCTATTGGTCCAATCGTGAGGATTTGGATCTTATTTACAATGAGTTGTCGTCATATGGAAGGCTGCAATCCTTCATCTTCATCACCAAGGGCTTCAAGTCCTCTCAATTTCACAAGGTTGTGTCATCTGTATAGTGCAGATACCACATTCTTCTTCATATAATCCTTGGAGCTCATCTGATATTAATTATTCTAAAATAAATTATGACCAAATATGTAGTTACTTGCTAAAAGCCACAAGGACTTGGAACATATTCTGATGAAGGTCAAAGATTACAGCCTTCTGTATGAACTTCAGCTCACAGTTGGTGCTTATTGGCCCACCATGCTAAATGGAGAAAGGACTGCAGGCGAAGATTTCACTTTCCTTGAACCAATAAACAGTGCTCATTGAAGCAGAAGTCAAGGAGTGAAATGGCCCATTGAGTTGGGAAAAGTGGGTGTATTTGACTTATTTAAAGTTGTGAAGACCACAGATGTCACTTTGATTACTAAGGTGTGCCTGACATACGCTGTGGTATTATCAGTCACCTTATATGCATGTGAAAGCTGGACTATGATTGGAATATGGGAAAAATTGATTCATTTGAATAATGGTGTTGCTGAAGAATATTGAAAGTACGATAGACTACTAGAAGAACAAACACATCTCTCTTAGAGATAGTACAGCCAGAGTACGCCTTCAAAGAGAGATGGCATGACTTTATCTGATGGATTTGGGCAAGCCATCAGGATAAACCAGTCCCTGAAGAGGATATAGGATATCGTGTGTTATAAAGTAGAGGTCAGTGCAAGAGAGGAAAGCCCTGAAGGAGATGGATTGACACAGTGCTGCAAAGATGGGCTCAAGCCTAACAACAATTTTGAGAATGGCCATAGAACTAGTAGTGTTTTCTACCACTTTACGTAGTCTGGTTATGAGTTGGATCTCAATCTCACCTGATCGCACCTAACAACTCTAGAGGTCAAAGTCAAGCAATAAAGAAATAGTTGAAGATTTTACAACAAAGCACTGGAGGTGAATATTATCTATATTTAGGTATAGAACTAAGGCTAAACCATGGTGTAGTAAGTGCCAAAAGAATTTAAGTGCCTAAAATTATTGAAATAGTTCCGCTAACTTAGAATAGAAGGCAGAGGTGGAATGTGTTTGTTTCATGTGAAGTTGAAAATCATGGTGTATCCTTTAAAGTGATAAATCAAGTAATAGTAGTGTAAGTATACATTTTGTTGTGTTCGCTGCCACACAGTCTCCTTTTGACTTAAAGTGACCACATGCACAATGGAACAAAACACCACCTAGTGGTGCGCCACCCCTGTGATTCCTTAGGGATCAGACTGTTGTGATCCATGGAGTTTTCCCGGGTCTATTTTCAGAGGTCGATCACTAGACCTTTTTCCCTTGCCCATCTTCATCTGGAAGCTCTGCTGAAACGTGTTCAGCCTCCTAGCAACACATGAGCCTCATTGACAGATGACTCAAACTTAGGTGTCCCACATGGGAAGTGAGTATTCTAGTACTGCACCACCATTGCCTCATCAGCATATTATTATATATTTTAGTACTAAGGTAAACACTGAGAAATATAATGTTATCAGTATATATCAGACAGTGGAAGAATAAATGCAGAAAAATTAAACACATTATCACTGTGCAGGACAGGAAACTTAGGTTATTGTTTAAAGAAGGGTACCAGTACTAAATAAAGTTATCATTTTAATGTGATCATGGATGCTCTACAAGTAGGTTACAAAATAAAATCATACTCATTGCCATTGAGTCGCTTCCAACTCATAGGAAGTCTAAAGGGCAGGGTAGAACTGCTCCTGCGGGTTCCAGAGGCTGTACCCCTTTACAGGAGTTGAAAGCCTTGTCTTTCACCCACAGACTGGCTGGTTGGCTTAGAACCTCTGACCTCGTGGTTCATGGCTCAACACAGAACCACTGTACCACTAGGGTGTGCATACTCTCATCTGTAGTCTCCTCATGAATTTCATTCAACATCTCATCCTTGTGGCTCAACAACAATCCTATCAACGTATCTACTTAAAAAGTTCGTAAAAATAAGATGTTCAAGGAGAACATCTCTTGCCCTTCCTAACACAGAAAGGGCCGGTCCACCTTCAGAATCCAGAGATGCTCAGGCCCAGAGTTCTGAGTGAGAGCTGCTGTCACAGGCCACGTTTGACCCCCACCCTGGGACTTCCAGGTGGAGAAGAAAGAACTTCAGGAGGGCTACAGAGGCTGAGAAGCAGGCACAGTGACTCTCCGATGTTGCTCACGAGACATTCAATCTCTAATTAAGTGGATTATTTCCTCTTGCTACTGTCTAATCACTAATAATCAGAACCTCTCTGAAACATAGAGGTTTTAAACTTAAAGTGGGCTTCTTGAACAATTGCTTATAAGAGTTCACTGTTTTTAAGAAAGGAAGAATGTTGAGTTACTACTTACACTTGATTATATTTTTTCCATTAAAGCTTCAATTTATACCTCCAAGTAGGATTTCAGAGCCTGCTACCGTCTTCCAAGCGTCAGCACCCAAGGTCAGTAATTAAAGCGTGATGGAGCCATTATGTCGCTGTCACACAGAAGGTACATTTATCATGTTCAAAGCCCTCTTCCTTCATGAAGTTGAGAAAGCAAGGTACTAATAGATTTTTAAAAGACTGACTTCATTTATTTTTTCTTAATACTGTAGTACAAGGAGGCTTCAAACAGATTGTGGGGAAATGTCATATTTTAATTCCATTTCTTCCATGAACTTTTAAAAAGCCCTTTGTACTGATTTCTTAGTGAAAACTTAGAAAAATAGACATAAGTAAGAAATTTAAAGCCACACATTATCGATTTCTAGATATGATGATCATTTTAAATATCATCATGTATTTCCCAGTGTTTTTAGTATTACACATTCGGTGTATCTGTGGGTGCGTGTGTATGCCTGTAAAGAAATGATAAGACAGACACTTCCTTAGAAAGATAGGGTGTCACAGTAGTTGCAACAATGTATTCAAACATGCCGACGATCATGCGGATGATGCAGGGCCAGATCATGTTTCAGGTCGATGTGCCCAGGGTTGTCATCCCTGAAGTGAACTTATAGGTAACTACCTATTGAGGAATACGCGCACACATTTATCTATCCATCTATTCAACTCTAGGGAGACAGAGAGAGAGAATGCGAATGAGTCTATGGATATATATTTGTCTAGAAATATGGTTTACACGTAAAGTCTACCTCTCATTATTTTATTTTATTCCTCTGCTAGCCATGGGTATGGTGATTGGACATTTAGAGGAAAATATTTTTGAACCTTTAGGGTTTCTCAATTATACGAATCACACATACAATTTATGAACCACTCTTTACAATTTGAATTTTTATAGGTGAACCTTCAGTAAACAATGAACTTTTATTAATCTTTAAACAGATTTATTGGGACATATTCCACATATACAACTCAAGAGTTCAATCATATCAACAAGAGTTGTACAATCATTGTCATGATCAATTATAGGACATTTTCTTCTTTCTTTTACTCCCTCCTTATTAGCTCCCCACTTGTTCCCAACCTCACTGAACATATTGCCAAGAAACCATTAATCCAGTGACTGCCCCTATAAGTTCACCCATCCTTGATTTAATATACTGAAAAATATACAATAACAAAGAAACAAAAAAGCTAACCACAGTAACAGAGTAAAGCCTCAGTTGAAAAGAAAACAGAAAATATCAAAAACTAAAACAACTTTAAAATGGGTCAGAAGGGAGATCAAATGATAAGGTGTTAACCTTTAATCTAACTGCATCTGTGATAGTCCACTTTCCAATGCAGTCTCCATGATATCAAGGCTGTTCACATCTCTGGTTTATGATCAGAAGGGATTTACCAGAAGCCTAATCCACATGTAGTTCTCCTTCACTTAAAAAAAGAAAAAACAATTTTTAAATGGGCCAAGAATATCAAATAAGATGTTACAATTTTAACCTAATTATATCTACTATAATTGCCTCTACTGTACTGTGCCTGATAACAAGGCTATTCACATCCCTCCACTATGCTCTGAGGGAATTCACTGGTGGCTTAATCTATGTGTTGACCCCTCAAATGAACTTTGGGCTTCTACTTCCATCCATAGCCTTCTGCAAACCAGGTGTTCACAATTTAAGCTCTGATACCATTCTCTTCTTCGGGTTTAGATGATATAATTTACAATCCTTGGGTCACACAGGCTGGTGTGCTTCTTCCATGTGTACTTAGTTGGTGCATCACTTAGATGACTGCTTGTTTGAAGACAAGTCTGTAAGACCCAGACACTATTCTATCAGAAGGCAAAGCATCATCTAGTTTTTGTTCACCACACTCTGCTGTAGCCCCCATACCTTCCAAATTTCCTTCATGAGGGCAGCAGTCAAGCAGAGTCATGTCATAAGAATGAATTGCTTTGAGGCTGGGCCGAGAATTAACTTCAATTCCAAGATCCATTCATATATCTATCGTTTACATATGTCTCTGCTTCACTTTAGAGACATAACTGTCCTTTTATGGTAGAGAACATTATCAGTCATTTCCCTGGGCATAAGGTAATCCTACTGATAATGTTATTAATTTAGCCAATGGTACAGAATTTAAATCAGTTGAGAAAATATTGAAATACATGGATTATTGACTTGTACCGATTAAACTCAAGTGACCAGACAATATTTACCCAAACAATGAGAGTTGATGAAACGGCAAACATTTTAATAATATTCATTGATAGTGGCAGATCCAGGTCTACCAGATCAATATGTATCTTAATTAAGCAAGGAAGGCACTAAAATAGTATGTATATGGTGTCCAGCGCCAGCATTCACGGGGCACCCTCAAGGCAAGAGCCTAAGTCCAACAACAACCAGATCTATACCCTTGGTAAAGGAGTCATCTGCTTTAGATTGTTGATATATTTACATAATTTATTGTATACCTTTGGAATTGTTGACAATTATATTAAACATTGAAACACTTGTTGCCAGAGTTTACACATTTCCTTAGTTTATATTTCTGTTGTTTACAAGTTCTGCTCAAGGGATCAGGGACCCAGGAGCCTGATAATAAATTGTAATTCTTCTTACCTTTTAATCCAGTGCTCTCATTTTACAGTAATTTGCCTAAGATATGCCTATGGTCTCTACAGAGCTGATTATGAGACCAGGTATAGGTTCTATCAGTTTTATAGTATATTACCACCAGATTCTGAAAATGAGATCCGGAAAGAGATTCTCTCAGTAGTGGGAATTAGTAAAAAATCAGCTGTCTACAATTTGTCCTCAGAAATAGAATATAAATGCCCTGTTCTAAAGTCCCCCAATAGGAATACAATTGGCATGTAAAGAAATAAGCAAATTAATGTGCTTAAAACTGCACAACTAGATGCTGGCTTACTTGAAAGAAAATTGGAGACCAACAATTTAATTTTGCCCTCAGCTTTGTTCAGAGGGAGAAAGCTCCCTGTATGCTCATTCTCTTGTGAATAATGCTGTGCTTTGGTCTCATCCAGCCCTCCAGACACCTCTCTTTCTAATAGCCATTTTTACTTTTTTATAGCAAACACATTTCAGATTTTAAATAGAGAGACTGACCTAGTATTTAAAACACATGTATATGTAGGCTTTCACCAAATTGCACACGTATTTCACTTCTTTTGTAAATATGCCCATCGTTTTACAAGTAACATCCAGCGAGGAGTTAAGAAGCAGGCTTTGGGCTGGAAGGAGGGAGTGGGACAAGTCTAGTGCACACCAGTGAGTCAAACGCAAGTGAACTTCTGTGAGAGAAGAAGCCAAGGTGTGAAATATGTTCTCAATTTGAGGTCTTGTGCATCCTCATTATCAGAAGCATCCTTGACTTAGCCCAGCTCTGCAGCCATTCCTGAATCAAATTCTTGATACACCGTTACAATGGTATATATGGGCTAGCACCCCTTTTCTGTCTGCTTTTAACATTTTCCATTCGTAATAAAAATATCACTAGTGGCATAACATTTTATGGGAAGTGTAATGAAAAGAAACTGACTGCTAAAAATATAACCATTTGTTATTTACTCTTTAAGGAAAATACCCGAACAAAAAGAAGCAGGCCTTCAGATGGTGACTTGGATCGTGAATCTCTTCCGTCCCTTGATCTTTCCATCAGCCATACAGGCTGGAAAAGACACACGGAAGGGCATGACTCTGATATAGAGTTCGTCTCAGAGACGAAAATTACGAGGAAGACTATGCAGAAGAAAGTGAAACGTCCACATTGGAGAGGTCCAGGAGCCCTGCCAGAAAATGTCAGAGGAGCTAAGAGATCCCAGGTGGTTTTTGTTTTTTGTATAATAATTCACTCGTTCTGCAGAGGGATGGATTCGTGTCCACATTTTTAAAGCGCCCTAATGATATAATACACATTAAAGTCTGCATTTCCTGGATAACATCCTAATTAATTTCTTTCTTTCCTTGTGGTGGTCTCTATTTGGGAGAAATGTTAGAGTTCAGAATGGAGTGTGGAAAGTGCAGGCCATCTGAGGCCCTCCTGAAGAATGCCTGGTTGGAAAAAGTATCTTAAATGTGTTTTTGAAAGAGAGAGATTCATATACGATATACCTGTAATCTTTATAGTTTTGTGTTTAGTGCTTTACAGGAAAGATGCTTAGCCAAAGGGTAGCCATGCAGTTACCCCTGTAGTTAAAGTCATAGCAAATAGCATATTTTAACATAGAAATTTCATGTATCCAAATTGGTTTGTTTCTGTTAAAAATTGCTATACATTCATTGCTTTATTATACTCTTATTTAATTCACTTACAAGAATTAATCTTCATATTTAACTTTCCTAAAAATAATAAGGGTCCTTACCATTGAGGGAGCATTTACCATATCTCAGGGCCAATGTCAAGGGAATACAGAGATCATTTCACTAACTGCTTTTTTTAAGCCGAAAAAGATTGTCTAGTTTATCAACCTTTGCATCATGTTTGACTTCTACTACCTTTTTATTATTTCCAAAAATTAAATTCACCGTTAATGATGACTTCAATCTACCATGGAAAATATTCAAATGAATTGTCCTAGGTTCTGAAAGCGATGCTAATTTGGTAAAAAAAAAATACCTTTAAGGTTTTTCTCTCTCTCTCTTTCTCTCTCTCTCTCTCTCTCTCACACACACACACACACACACACACGCACACGCACATACACACACAGAGTCATAGGGAGCTGTTTTAGGAATGGTTCTTTTAAAAGACGTTATCCTGAACAATGATCACATTACAAAAATATTACCTGCTGCTCTTTTGGAATATTTTGGAACATGGTGTCCAGACTCTTGTGAAAATATGTAGTGATGGAGAAGCTTTTGCCACATAAATCTGCCTTTTTGCTCATTCGATTTGTTGGGTAGCATATCCTGTTAAAATATTTGAAACCCAAATGAACTGACCCCACTACCTTTGAGTGCATTCCAACGACAGAGACTATGGGGGACAGAGCAGGCCTATTCTAGAGGGTTCCCAAGTGGTCCCTTTGCACAGCAGGCTGCCACGCCTCTCTGCGGTGGAATGGCTGGTGGGTTCCAGCTGTTAGCAGTCATGTCTTTAACCACTATGCCACCAGGGCTTTTTATTTGAAATCCAGCTCCTAATAATTCTGATGTATTGATCCTAAATCTTCCATTGAGTCTATGTAAACCAAGCTGAATCTGTCTACGACTGTTACAGGATTTTAATTTTTCAGTTACTTTGAATATCACATCATATTTGAATGTGTACATTCATGTATTCAACAGATACTTATCCCACATTTGGCTATTTCAAAGCACTGTATGCTTGTAATATAAAAAAAAAATGTGTTCTTCTCTCTTCATGATTTCCGGAAAATCTTCACAGCTGGGCAGGTTCAGGATATGCAGTGAATTGGTTTATTTTGTGGGGATGCTGCATGCTTTAAAAACATACCCGTGATCAGGAAGTTCAGAGTATTCCCACGTGTTAAGACAACACATTTTAGACAAAACTATAGAGATGCGATGCACTTAGTGCTGCATTTAATACATATATATATATAATAAATACTGAATAACAATGTCTAATTCAGAATTCTAGCTACAGGAATTCAGTGGGGAGCAAAGCCACATCATGTCCCTGTTTCTACTCAACTGCCAGGCTATTGAGGGAGACAGACAATCACATAATGCCAAAATGTAAACCGCTAGTGTGGCAGCTGTTATGAAAGATAGATCATGAGCACTTTTAATAGAAGGTCTGATTATCTGAGGGGAGAGGCAGGTTTCCCCTGAAAGTGACTATGGAGTTTCTGCGCATTCTAATTGGTAATAATAAAAGCATAACATTTCTGAACAAATGCAAACAGCATTTGCCAGAAAGACATTTGGCGAATGCAAAGTATTGCACCGGATCAAGACAAGCAAGCTGTGATACTGCAGTGAGATGGACATAGGTGTGAGGTGTGTAGAGACCTGTGCAAGTTGTAGAGCCTCTCATATGGGATTTTGTATTTGTCCTGAAAACAATAGGAAAACATCAAAAGACTTCATTCAGGAAGTGGTGTGATCAGATTCTTAGAAAAGATCACCATGGGTGCGTATTGGAGAAAGGACAGTAGAGAGTGGAGGGATGTGGACAGAGCAGTGAGGAAGTTATTACACTGGTATCCTCAAGAAAGATTGCAGTGTAGACTAGAGTGATGATGAAGAAGGAGAGACTTTATTGTTGTAAATGTTTGCTTTAAGGTTATAGCACTCGTTGGTCTTGGTGATCTATTGGAGTTAGAGAATGAAACAGAAGGAAATGACAAAAATTGAATTTCTGGTACTTGACCTAGGTTGGGTGGTTCAATAAAACTGGGGATCCTAGAAGGTGATGAGGTTCATGGAAAGGAGTACGAGTTCAGTTTAAGTAGTTTGAGATTTACAAATGTTGAGCTAAAGGTCACGCTTATGATTCTAAATGTCAGAAACAAGGTATAGATTGGAGACAAACTTGTAAGACATCTTAATGTAGGTGGGTGTTGCGGATTGTACCACACCCTTCTCCCATAAAACGTGTTGTAAACCCTAAGCTCTGGGCCTGTAGTTATAATTCCACTTAACATTGGATTGTCTATTATATTTAGAGGCCGGATTAGTGCCAAGTATTCTCAGGTCAGTATCTTTTGATATATAAGAGATAAACACAAGCAAGAACAAAGCACATATGGTCAAGAAAGCTGATGGTGCCTGGCTATCAAAAGATAAAGTATCTGGGGTCTTAAAGGCTTGAAGACAAACAAACAGCCATCTAACCAAGAAGCAACAAAGAGCCAGAACAAAAAATCATATCAATGTGAGTGAGGGGGAGTGCAGAGTGGAGACCCAAAGCCCATCTGTAGACAATTGGACATCCCCTTACAGAAGGGTCACAAGGAAGAGACAAGCCAGTCAGGGTGCAGTGTAGTACTGATGAAACACACAACTTGAAATACAAAGCCTTCTGCTATGGCTAAACTCAAACTCACTGCCATTGGGTCAGTTCCAGTTCACAGTCACCCTGAATTCAGATTTCTAGTCTCCTGATTTGTGAGCAAATAAGATTCTGTTACTTAAAGCCATCCGTTTTTAGTATTTCTGCTATAGCACCACTAGATAATTAAGACCATGGATAAGGAGGAGGTTGGGGGCTAAGAAAAAAATGACTAGTTAGAAACTTAGGAATTCTAGAATTCTATGGTCAGCTAACACATTATGTTAAGTAAATCTGCCATAAAAGACCTCTTTAAAGTGTTGAAAAGCAAGCTTACTATTTTGGGGATTAAGGTGCATCTTACCCAAGCCATGGTATCTCTAGTCGCCTCATATGCAAAGTTGGGCATAGAATAAGGAAGACTGAAGCAAAATTGATGCATTTGAACCATGGTGTTGGCAAAAGTATTGAAAGTGCTATGGACTACCGAAAGAACAACCAGACCTGCTCGGAAGAAGAAAGAATGCTCCTTAGAGGCAGGGATGGCGAGGCTTCATCTCATGTACTTTGGACGTGTCAGGAGAGACCAGTCTCTGGATAGATGCATCACACTTGATAAAGGGGAGGGCAGCAAGAAGGAGGCTCTTGGCAAGATGCACTGACCCAGTGGCTACAACAATAGGCTCAAACATAAAAACAATTGTGAGGACCGGCAGGGCCTGGGGAGTGTGTTGTTCGGTTGTACGCAGGGTCACTCTTGAGTCAGGACTGACCCAATGGCACCTCACAACAACGTCATGGCCGGTGATGAGAGGAAGCCCAGTAGTGCGATGGGATAAGTGTTGAACTGCCTGTCATAAGGTCCCAGGTTCAAACCCACCAGTAGCTCTGCAAGAGAAAGATGAGGGTGTCTGCTCTCACAAAGATTTACCGCTTCAGAAACCCTAGGTCAGGGCACTGAGTCAGAATCAATTTTGAGGGCAGTGGCTCTTTGCTTAGGTTGAGAGGATAGTGGGACACAGGCGCATGTGAAGAAATTGGAGGCCAAATAAGGCCTTTTAAAAAAGGTCTATTCAGCACACCAGCCTATGCAACCACAAGGTGTCGAAGGGATCAGGTGTAAGGTATCATCAGAACAGAAAATCTTACCATAGTGAATGATGGGGGGAGTGCAGAGTGGAGATCCAAAGCCCATTAGTAGGCCACTGGAGATCCCCTTGCAGAGGGGTCTCGGGGAGGAGATGAGCCAGTCAGGGTGCGATGTAACAATGATGAGAAATACAACTTTCGTCTGGTTCCTAAATATTTCCTCCCCGCTCCCACTACCATGACTCGAATTCGATCTTGCAAGTCTGGCTAGACCAGAGGAGGTACACTGGTACAGATAGGAACTGAAAATACAGGGAATCCAGGACGGATGAGCCCTATAGGACCAGTGGTGTGAGTGGCAAAACAGGGAGGGTAAAGGGAGAATGGGTAGGAAAGAGGGAACCGATTACATGGAACTGTGTGTGACCTCCTCCCTGGGGGACAGACAACCGAAAAGTGGGTGAAGGGAGACGTCGGACAAGGCAAGATATGACAAAATACCCATTTATAAACTATCAAGGGCTCATGAGGGAGGGGGGAGCGCGGAGGGAGGGGAAAAATGAGGACCTAATGTCAGGGGTTTAAGTGGAGAGAAAATGTTTTGAGAAACGATGTGCAAATGTGCTTTACACAATTGATGTGTGTATGGATTGGGATAACAGTTGTATGAGCCCCTAATAAAATGTTAAAAAAAAATAGAGCAAAAAAAAAAAGGTCTATTCTTTCACTTAGTGTGTTAGAGATAATAGGGATGATCTCAGTAAGAAGGTTTTATTGTCATTGTTAGAATGACAAGAATTGAAATCCGTCTACAAGGGTTTGATTAGAAAGGAGAGAAAATAGAGACAGGCTCTATATTCATTCTTGATAAGCTACAATGACTTCACATGAGAAAAGACACTGTACTTAAGACAATTGAGACGCAAGGAGGATAGATCACAAGATTTTCTCATAAGCACTTAAACATTTAATTTAATCAGATTTTCCACCATAGTTGAAGTAGTTTTTGGTTGCCTGAGGATTATTGCAGTAAAATTCCAACATTCTCACCAGTAATCACAACATCGTATTAACACCACGAAAAGAAGAGGTGCAGAAAATGCAATTAGTTTTAATATTAGGTTAAGCAGGATAAAATTAGGAAGGCAGATATGCTCAAAATCAGTCTTATAAACTTGATAGTATTGGCTCAGGAATTAGCGAACGTTTTAGGTTACATGCACTCGTGTTCACGTCTACTAATGCCGATAATTAATTAACTGTTGTTCTAGATAATTGTCATGATCACACCCTGCCTTTCTAAATGGTTCTACTTTTTAATTCTGAAACAACTTTTTAGACCCATATCCTGAAAATGCCACACCTATTAAAATAGATTTATTATTTCCCACATGTGCAAACTGTTAATTCATTTGAATTTTTTGATGGTTGCCTTTATAAATGCATTTCAGTCAACAAACATATTAAGCAATTACTGGGGGCTGGGGGCTAGGATTCAAAGAGGAATAAGACACAGTTCCTGCATGAAGAAGCTGATCATCCCAATTAAGTGATCCCATTCCCTACCACTTAAATTTTATATTCTCATTGTTTCACATATGAAAACTACTTTTCAATGTCAACAATGACTGTAGCCACATTAAATAATCCTAGATATACTTAATATCCGTTGGTTACTAGCTCCATCCTAAGAAGCTGCCATATATATTTTGAAAGTAATGTAGATTTTTCCCTTCAAACCACATCTATGTATGTTTTGATAATGATGTGCATAGACATTTATTGTTTTTGTTGTTAAGTGGTATTGGGTCAGTTATGACTCAGAACAGCCCCGTGTTCAACAGAATGAAAGAGTGCTTCTGGGTGCTGCGCTGCTCACAGTGATTGCTAGGCTTGAGTGCATTGTTCCAGCCCCTGGGCGGGGCCTGGTGGGGAGGGGCCTCCTCGTTTTTGCTCACTCCTTTGGGAAATACTGCAGGCCCTTTACTCTTCACTGTTGAGCCCCCTTGTTTCTAGAATTCACTTCATTTTTAAGGTGCCTTGTGATCTTTCATATGCATTGTTATTAACTTTCATGTGTGCTTGTCCAAACGGTACACTTCTTAAGAGCAAAGGTCAGAAACTGACTTTTCTGTGTATACCTCACAGAGGTTTGCTGTTCTTGAAAATTAACAAATGAAGGAAAGAAGTTGTTACATTGTAAACCTCCAGTTATTACTGATATTTGTATTTTTGCTGCTGTTGCTGTAGGCATCTTCTTGGGAAATGAAAAGAAAACATAGTCAAAATCTTATGCAGGAATGTACAGCATTGATAGAAGTTGAAACCAACAATGAGAATCCAGATCGAATCCTGGTGAGATAAGCTTTATTATCTAAATGACACCTTGAGATTTATTCACGTGCATGAAGATTAGATAGATACGGCACTGGAATTAGTGCCAAAAGTAACTGAACAACCCAGCTCTTTGGTAAAGAAATATGACTCAGAAAATGAAAGTATTTGCCCAAGGCTGTACCACCTAGTAGGGATGGCCCTAGAGCTGTGCCTCGTTCCCTATCAATCGGGGTTTTCCATATTCGTTCTCAGGGTGGTAGAGTGCTAACCTAAGTGGTTATTTTCATTGTACAAAGAAGACTCAGAAACCTCTTTCTGATTCTTTGGAAATGGGGTTAAGATATGGGGATGTCGGGTACCGGGGCTACCAAGATGAAGAAGACAACTTTTAACTCAAGACTAATGGATGATCATCTAAGAACGATTCATCTGAATTTATAATTTAAAATTCCGTTCTCTATCACCATAGAGATAGTTTATCGTCCATTGTTAAACATCCGTACATGAGATGTTACTGTCTGAAAATTATCTAAGCCGCACATACTTTTATTGTATTCTCAGAGTGGTCTCAAGAAAAAAAAAACCTGTCCTTCTCCTGTGCCCATTCCTTTCAGTTATTATTTAATTTAATTCATAAATTATAACTATATTTTAAGAAAGCATTTGAAGACAATCTGAAAATATCTAGCAGTCATTCTTTTTTTTTTTAAACATTTTATTAGGGGCTCATACAACTGTTATCGCAATCCATACACACATCAATTATGTAAAGCACATTTGTACATCATTCTCAAAACATTTTCTCTCCTAGCAGTCATTCTTAAATGGAGGTGGGAAGCCTTAATATTAACAGTAAGGAGTCCTGATGTTGTCATGATTAAGCGCTGAATTAAAGCTTCAATTCTGAAACACTTGATTTGTGAAAGACTATGGTTTATGGTTTTCTATTGTCGTGTGCCATCAACTTGATTCCGACTCATAGTGAACCTGTGTACAACAGAATGAAATACTGCCTGGTCCTGCTCCATCCTCACAATCATGTTATATTTGAGAGCATTGTTGCAGCCGCTGTGAAAATCCATATTGTCAAGGGTCGTCTTCTTTTTCCCGGTACCCTAATTCTGTTTTGAATCATGACATAGGTCCTGTCTGACCAATAATCCAACAATATGGCTAATACTTAGATAAGTCTTGGGCAAGTTTATGAAAGGGCAGCTTTGTCTTTAGGAAGAGAGTGTTTGAAAATAGAGTACAATCCCTGGAGCAGCTCCGAGAAGGGCAGCTTTGCCCTCAGGATTACACAGACAACCAGGGACTTGCTTGGGTGTACCCGTAAGGATTCATCAGCAGTGGCTGCATAGTATCTAAAAGTTGGGACCTTGGTGACTATAATGCAGAGTCACATGGTCATGAGCTGCACCCCAACCTCTACATAATCCCAGAACCAAGTCTGTTGAGCTTTTCAAATGTGCATTGGTACCTGCACCCTAGTCAAGGTTCTTTTCTGGTTTCGTTAGTCCCACCTGCAGCAGCGATGGCTTGACCTGTCACCACCAGTCGTGATTTTGGGATGATTGCCTCTGCATCCTGTCCTATAGAACTGTGAATCAGAGACTCCATGCTGATTGCATGCTGCTGATTTCCCCTTATTTTTGATTTCATCTTGCCTTTGTCTTGTATAAGGCTTAATAAGTGTGCCTACAGAATATGGCTAAATTTGGGGTCTCCCTGCCTCCCTTCAGAACGGTATTCAGTTGCTACCCAAAAGTTTGGCCATTCAAACCCAGCCAGCAGCTCCACAGGAGAAAGACTTGTTAAGCTGCTTCCATCAGAATTTCAGCCCCAAACCCCTCGGGTACTTCTAGTCTGGAAAATGGGGTCTCCTGAGCTAGAATGGATTTGACAGCATTGAACAAAAATAGCACTACCACCCAGGACATGAAGAAAGGGAATCCTGTTTTCAAAAGGAAAAGGGCCAACATTTAATTAAACCCCAGAAAGAAAGGCAAAATTGCACCTAGCGTAGTAAATAACCACACTGTTTACCACTTCAAAGAAACATGTGATAAAGGTACACCTGTGAATGTTACCAGTCGCGAGTTGCTTGGCAAAATCTTCAAAGTCTGCATGTTTTTCCTGTAGCCAGGGCTATCACCTCTGTGAGCTTTGTGTAGGCCGTTTGGCTGTTGTTTTTTCATACATCAGGTATGATATTTCGGTGATGATTGCTGCTTTCATGTACGATTTCTCACATTCTTATGTTGTCTGTGTGCATGCTTGTTCTGATGGTTTTATCTCCTGGTAAGAGAGAGACACAGCCTGCTTGCTTTCACACGCATGGTGTCTTATCACGTTGGATAAAAATGCGTTGCTCAGAGATGCACATAATTTTTGGTTAGATTTGAGTAACCCAGGCAATACTTTAATAATGTGATAATTCAGTAATTACTTCTGACAGTGGGTCATTTCTTAAACTCATAATTTTTCTTTAAAGATTTTTTTCTTAACCTCTTATTCCCAGTTATTTTCTAACTTGTGTGTGTGTGACCAGTCTGATCCTGTACCTGTCACAGTTAAAGAAGGAAAGCACTCAGGTAAACAGTGGTGCAGGAATTTGGCACTTAAGGACAGTCGATTCGTTACCGTACAGGTCACCTCCACCATTCAGCAAGGTAGTATTTATTATTTTGGTGGATTTGCTAGAGCCCAGGGCCTTATTTTCGGGTGTAATGAACTCAGAAGTATATGCCAGCACACTAAGGGAAGTTTAACCCACAGAAATGCTTTCTCATTGTTCAATCTCATGAGACAGTTGTATAATAAAGTCGTAAGGGCAGTTTAGTCATTTAAAAGATACATTGCCTCAGCCTCACTGGAAAACATGTATTGACTTAAACGAGGTATTCTCCCTTCCTGTGCCAGTTTGCATGGCATACCCAATTACATCTGACAACGGCTGGGAGAGCTAGCTGCCTGAATATTTACATTGTGTCCAGCCAGACGGCTACCTCCACCTCCCCACAGCACAGGACGGAGGTGATTTATCAACACAACTGTAGCACTATATAGGCACTGGCTGGGGCACCCTGCTCTGCGTCTGTCTGTGCCCCAGTCTAGAGAGATGGGGCTATCCTCGTGTCTGGTGCTGTAAAACTGTATGGTGCTGACATGCTAGTATATTTACACGGGTGTGTCTGTTGGGTTTAGCCTTTTCTATTTCTACATGGCCAGCCTCGGAAACCTTACAGAGGAATTCTATAAGTCAGAATCATATACCAGTGCACATCGTTATGAACTATGTGCTAAAGTGGCAGATACACTTTAACCCAGGCAAGAGTTTGCTTATTGAGTACCATACCACCTCAGGCCTGGGGATGCACTTGTTGTTATCAATTTATCAGTGCCCTCAAAACTCATGCTGTCTGATCAGTTGTCCCTGCACTATGTTGACTAGAAGTAGTGAAAAGTGCAATGAAGCATCCTAGCCAAAGAGTAAGGGCCCTATTTCTGTTAGGTCATCCGAGAAGATACAAGAAGCAGCTGTACAGGTTAGATATCCTGTAAGATCTGTTCCTCAAGGCAACTGAGACAATTAGAGAGCCAGGCCCCTGGAGGTCAGTGATTAACCAAATGATCTATCTGAAGCAAGCTGCGAAATTCAAGAACACCAGGCCAATAACCTTACTAGTGTCAGCACTAAGTTTGGAAAGTTCCGTGGGAATCATTTGCTGAGACTCAAGCCAGAGCGAACAAAATACTGAGAGCTCTATGTTTTTCTTCTTCCTCGTGGAGCGCAGACACCAAACCGAACTTGTGCAAAACTTCTAACACTACTTGGTAGCCACATTTTCTTCTTTGTATGCATTTGTACTTTCCCACAATTTTAATAAGATCATCTTATTGGGGGCTCTTACAGCTCTTATAACAATCCATGCATCAATTGTATCAAGCATATGTTCTAAACATGTACTTTCCATTTGAGCCCTTGGTGTCAGCTCCTCTGTTTACCCACCCTCCCCCACCTCCCACCCTCATGATCCCCTTGATAAATTATAAATTATGATTATTTTCATATCTCACATTGACCGCTTCCCCATTTTATTGTAATCTTTTTTTTCCAGTTAATGCAGATACAGATTGCTAAGGCAGCAGAGAATATCTGTATTGTGGTTGTCAATGTGGTTAGATTAGACCTGCCTGGTTAATAACCAGGAGCCCTACTACCTTTCTGAGTGGGTTGACTTTGGTCCTTTTGTCCTCTGGGTCATTAGTTGCTTTTGTTGTTGTTGTCGTTTGGGCTTGAAAGCAGTCTCAAAACGGATTGACAGATGGTCATTTTATTTTTCCAATCTGTAGGCAATTTAAAACACTTGATGGCCAGATCGCCACACACAGATGCATTTTTAAGAGTCTGGAAATGGATCCTCTGGTGTTTATGATAAAAAATGAAGCCTCTGGTACCTGACACAGGATGTGGCCAAGAAGATGGACAGGAATGTCTTTCTTTCTTTTTTTCTTTTGTGATTTTTCTGCTTTACCATTTTTCAATAGCTGTCTACTAAAAGTCCTACCTATGCTACTCCATAAATACTCAGAAAGTGATTCTTTCAGATTTTGTGGGACTGCCAAAGGAACTAAGCCATTGTTAAAAAATGATGTATGTGGTGATTCAAATTATGTACTGAATCCGACAAAGAGAGGGGTGAAGCTCACATTTAAGTAAAGCATTAGGAGCTGAGGTTTGGTTGTTGTTTCGATGAAAGTACTTAAAAAAACAAAAACAACTCTTGGTCTCCTTTAACTTTTCCAAATCCTTCCAGGCCTTTATGTCGCTGCAACCCAGGCTCAGCATGCAGCAGCCGGCTCTTTCCAAGGGAGCGCCACTTCAGACTTTCCTTACAGAGACCCGTTTCTCGCTCCCTTGTACTCACATCTAACCCTTTGATTCGCAGACAAAAGCTGAGCACACTAGCCAGGAAGGAGCCCTGGGGGTGTGGTGGGATGTGACTACAAGCCATATGTTACTTTGGCCTCTTGCGCTGCACTTTGAGATGCTCTGTCCAGGACTCGTACGTTATCATGTGTTCCTATTTGCTTCACTGTTCTGCCCCGAAGAGCAAGTTCCAGTCTCTTCGGACCTCCACGTTGATCTTTTCTTTCTTTTCTTCCTGATGGCCGTTTGTTTTCTTCGTGTCCGATGTTCTTGATGCCATTTCGCAGCTCATTAAGTCTTCTGTCATTTGTGCTCAATGATCCAAATCTACTTTTGAGATGTTTTCGAAATTTTGGTAGGATATACTCAAGGTTGTATTTTGGCTCTGGTGGACTTGTTTTCATTTTCTTCATCCTCAATATGAAGTTACAAAAGGGTCATTGATGATCTGTCACACAGTCGGTCCTTGCCCTTGTTTTTGGCGGTTGATATTGAGCTTTTCCATCGCCTCCCCCCAGAGATATAGTCACTTTGATCCCTGTGTATTCCATCTGACAAAATCTACTAGTATAGTGGGTGCTTTTGTTGTTGCAAAAAGGCATTTGTACTGAATACTTGGTTGGTCTTTTAACATTTTATCATGGGATCTTCACCTTCATTTCTGTCACCATGACTATCTTTTCCAACTATTGTTCTTCACTGTTTCCAATTTTTGCCAATTCAAATTGCCAATAATTATCAATGTATCTTGATTGCATATTTGATCAATTTCAGACTGAGAAAGTTAGTAGAATTCTTCTAATTTCTTCATCACTAGCTTTAGTGGTTGGTGGGAAAATTAGAATAATAATTGTATTAACAGAACATTCATATATATTATATTTACTTAGTTAGATAGCTATTATCCTATCATAGACAGTACTGTACTTCAAGATAGCTCTTGAAATGCTCTTTTTGATGATGAATATGATGTCATTCCGTGTCATTCCCAACAGAGTAAATCACATGATTTTCTGATGCAAAATGGCCAATATCAGTCTATTTCAGCTCACTCATTCCTTGGATATCAACCTTTATGTCTTCTCTTTCATTTTGACACCTTCCAATTTTCCTAGATTCAAACAATGCTCATTCCACTTGCTGATTATTAATTGCTCTTTACAGATGTTCTTCTTTTGAGTTGTGCCCCATCCGCAAATGAAGATCTCCAATGCTTCACTACGTCTGCATCACTCTGTCCAACTCTATTTTGAAAAGTCAGCCCTTCTTCAGTTATATGTTGGCCTGAAGGGTTCATCTTCTGGCATTATATGTGATAATGTTCCACCGCTCTGCTCAGGTTTTTCAGTATAATAAAAGAAAGTCAAACTTTCAAGCAAGTGGTGCCTCACTGGTGCTTTAGCCTCTCAATCAAACCCACTGCCAATGAATCTATTTCGACTCATAGTGATCCTATTCTAGGGTTTCTGAAATGGTAAAGCTTTACCAGTGCTGGCAACCTCATCTTTCTCCTGTGGAGTGGCTGCTGGTTTTGAACTATGGACCTTGAGGTTAGCAGATCAGTGCCTAACCCACAGGACCACTAGGACTCCTTAGTACTATAGAGGCACCCTATAAATTATCCCAAATGGTTCATTGGGATAAGGTGGTTGTACTTGTGGTACATCTAAAAATCAGAATGCTGTATTTCGTCTGTATGGCATGTCATGTCAGACTCCTGCTCAGACCTTGTCAGTTGTTTCTTCTCACACTTAATATAGACCTCAGTATCCTGGGTGTGACTCCCAGACCCTAGATGACCTGCGCCTGTCTCCCGTGAGATTTTACCCCAAGCCCTTCCTCGCACTGGGTTCTAGCCACTCAGACCTTCCTGGCTCTCCAACACCCAGATTGTGTCTGATTCACATCTTTTAAAACTGTCTTTCTTTTCCAACTGCCTAGTAGAAAGTAACTCACCAAAACACACGTTTTTGCAATTTTTGTTTGTTTACTTGCTTTTATCCCTTCTGAGAGTATAAACCAAATAATCCAAACCCACTGCCACCAAGTGGATTCCAAACCATAGTGACCTTTTGGGCAGAATAGAGCAGCCTCGTGGGGCTCCCAGGGCGATACGTTTTGATGGCAGCAGACAGCCTCGTCTCTGCCCCACAGAGCTGCGCATAGGTTCAAACTGCTGACATTCAGGTTAGCCGTCCAACGCATCACAGAGTCTCAGGTCCTGTCCCAGACGTTGGAGTAGTTAAGGGGGAAAAGCAGGCAGTGGGTTTTGCCCTTGATGGTACTTCCATTCCAGTAAAGGAATCAGACAATAAACAAGAGAAATAAGTAAAATATTTTGAATGATTAAACCACCACAAGTTAAGCAGTAAGGAGAAGGATGAAGCAGGGGACCAGGGATGGGGGCAACGTTGGCTGGGTCCAGTGAGGGGTGAATTGCAATTCTACATAGAGTAGCTGAAAAGACTCCTCGGAAGTGATGTGTACGGGAAGACTAGAAAACTCCTGGGGGAACATCCCCTGTAAGCAGCAGTAAGCAAAAGCTTTGGAGTGAGGAGTCCGTTCTGCGGGAAAGCGAGTGGAGAGGAGAAAGGCAGGTTATGGGGAGAGAACAGGAGAAACAGTGAGGTCACTTTCTGTAGTAATGTTCATCCCCTCTCGCTTGTGTTATTTCTTTGACAGAGTTTACCTTATACATTTACCGTATACATTCATATTTTAATTTATTCAGCCTCTCTAACCCTTTCACACACACACACAAAATGTGCTTTATAAAGACAAGGACTTTGTACTGTTCGCCCATAATAGGGACACAATCATCTTACTGATGACCTTAGGAGTTGAAAGAGAGGGTCCTAGTCTGTCAGTTAAATCTGCCAGAATGGAAATGGAAGGGCCCCTGAATTTTTGCAGGAAGACATTTACTCACCTGGCAGCCACTGTAGCTACCAGATACTGGTATGTGTTTGATAATAGGATGGGCTTGGGGTGGGGGTGGACTGGCAAAGGAATAGAAGGAAATACATCAGATAAAGTTGTATTATCCAGTTCCTCTGTTGACTTAACGATTGGATTAGCGAGGTGTTGCTCAGCTGCCGATGGGATAATCGCATTTCCTCTTACTTAGTTATGATTTATTTATCCTCTTAAAGAGATACTTTGCAAAATTAACCGTGTGGTATTATACTGATCCATGGCATCCCTTGGAGAACTGACAAATCCCATCCTGCTCATCGTTAACATAATTTTAATTAAGGTGTCTTAAGGTTCATGTTAAGACTTAACTATAATCTCATTTACTGTGGGGGAGGTGCTATCTGTTTCCTGACTTCGGTGAAACTGTAGGAAAAAGATATCCCCAGTGTGCAGAGTGTGAAACACAGTTTACCCTAAGTGACTGAAGAATAGTTCCGTAATGGAATAAATGAATGTATTTAGAGGAACTTTGTAAACAGCATCAAAAGTGTGCAAATAGCATCCCTGAAAGGACAACGACATCTCTTCTCGTCTCGGCATGAAACATTTCAGACCCTCGCAGCTACGGCTAGACTATCTTGTTCTAGAAAGAAGCCCCTGAATTCCACGATGCACACAATGTTACTGAAAAGGAAACATCTGAGAGCTGCACGTTGTTTACTTAAATTATTTCTAGGCTTCCAATTCAAAAGGAAGAAAGAAAAAGCGTCTCACCTGCAGTGAGATGGTAAAGCTATGCATAAGCGATAGTTTTGCATGTGGAAGGAAGCATATTGGATCCTAGTGGAAAGTACTCACACAAACCACAAAAGCGCCCTACTAAGACTGCTGTCATTTCTGCCCATCTTGGCACTTGCATCTTCTCTGATTTTCGTCGTAAAGTCCGTTACCCAAGAAAATAACACATCCTGAGAAGGATCATCATGGTTTAAGCAAAGGGGTCATAACGAACTATATTAAATCACGCCTCTTTGGGAGTCCCCGAGTGTGTGGCTGGTCAGAGTGCATGGAGGTTTGGATTCATCCAAGGGGCTTCACTAGCAAGGCCTGACGATCTACTTCTTACACGTAGCCATTGAAAACAATTCCAATTCACATTCATTTTTAAGTTACTTTCAATATTTTGGCAAAATGAAAATTTGCATTTTGACAGCTACCTGGAGCATTCACTTATTTACAGTATACATACAAAAATATCTTACCCTCCGGAAGGGAACACAGAAGATATGGGTGCTATAGCAAAATGTGGCAAAGAAATTAGATGGTGCCTGGTTCTCAGCTAACATAGCACATAGAGCTTAACATCTTGTCTCCAAGCAAGCAGCCCTCTTAGGGAGATGTCACCCAAGTCTGCATGGAAGAGTCACACCATCAGCACTCACTGAAGGATTGTGCATCGTATAATCCACAGTCGAAGGAGGGATTAGTATCAGAGCCTGAATTGTGAGAATGCGGTTTGCAGAAGGCGATGGATGACAAGTGGGAGCCCAGGATACATTTGTGGGATCTTCATAGGAAATAAACCTCCGGTGGTCACTCTCTGCCCATAATTGAGTGCTGGGAGGAAAAGGAGTACTAAACAGAGTACATTGCAGAGATGAGTATAGAAGAGCAAAGGGATATAAACCCGACTGAACAGTTAAAAGTTTGTCATTTGATCTCCACTCTGATGCACCCTGGACATGATCTGGTTTTCGGCATTTTCTGTATTTTTGTTTTGTTTTATTTTTGTATGGTCATATTAGGGTGTATCTTAGAGGTGTTATGTCATTGGAGGTCACCCTCATGAATTTGTGTTATATGCTTTTCGGTACATGAAACCCAGGATTGATGAACCTACAGGGACAGCAAGTAGAATAAGTGTTTCAGGTGTGGGGGTGGGGGTGGGAGGAGGTCAGGTGGTGCAGTGCGGTGGGGTGGATAAAAGAGAAGCAATGTCAAGGAGTCCAGGAAGAAAAAGGATGCTTGGAAATTGATTGTGGTAGTAATTGTACAATTCTGTTTTATGTGATTGAACTATGGAGTGATAGGATATATGTATTAACTCCCAATTATTAATAAATTAAAACTGCCTCAAAGTAGGCAAAAGTAACGTAACCTGTCGTCATCCAGCCGATATGACTTACTGAACGTATAGGTCAATTGGCCAGCACTGTTCCTTAAGGCTTCGAAGTCTGTGAATCTTTACAGGACAGAGAGCCTCATCTTTCTCCAGCAGAGCAGCTCGTGGGTGTGAACTTAACTCGCAGCATCACCAGGGCTCTCTAACCATTAACTTAGAATGGGTTTATTTTTTATTTTCAATTCACAAGACTTTCATTTCTCTTGATTTGGGTCAAACAGAGAATAGTAGTGAGGGGAAGCTGCAATTGTTTCGTTGCTCGGCTGCATGCTGGTCCATTCAGCCTGGCACCTGATAGAGCACTGTTTCCAGAATGCCAGGTGAGAACATGCCTTCATCTCCTGGAGAGGAGAAAAAGAGTTGTCATCCTCTCCACAGCACGTTGGAGGGAATGAAAGGTGAAGGATGGATCCCTAGTGGACAAGCGTCAGAAAACCCAGAGCAAGGGGAAGTGTGACGTGTGGAAATATCTCAGATGCGTCACAGGGTCTTTGGCTCCAGTCTTCTTCAAATTTCACTGCTTGTTTCCCCACCTTCTCTGATTAACAGGAGACATGAAGGCTACATTCTGGGTCTGTTTTACTGAGGTGCACTCTCTCTCTCTCTCTCACACACACACACACACACACACACACAATCTTAGATTTGAAGAAGTCCATGCCCCAAATATCCCTTCCTGTTGTGTGAACCTAATCAACTGGCCATCAAAGGACTCCCCAATCAATGACAGCCATAATTTCTGAATGGGACACTCAGCTCCCTACTGCTTCAGCTGAATGTACACAAATCTCCCCACCCGCTGCATGCCAGCGACCACTGACGCGACATTGAAGAAAATACAGCTCGGCGGTGCCTGTTCATCTGCTTCGCTAGGATTCTTTCAGAAATCCAGGTGCCCTGGGCTCTCACAGCCCCATCCTCACAGTGCAGCTCCTCGCCCCCAGATTCTTACCCGCCATGCTTCAGGCCTGAGATTCCGGCCTCAACGTCCCAGAGGTTGAACGGCGTTGGACTTGAGCTCTGCCCCAGCCCCCTCGGAACAGCTGAGACTTGAAGGTGTCTCCTGGTGAACCAAATATTCGATTCAATTATTGGTGAGACTGCTGCATCTGTGTGTGATAAAATGTTTAATCATATTGGTACAATGGTAAAGATCTTGAAAACTGCCGAAGTAAATATGGCAAGTAAAGTGACTATCATTCTGGCAATGCGTGCTATACACAGCTTTCTATGGTCTTCCTTCTGCCCCTTCCTTACATGTGTGAAAAGGCTCCTACTGGCAACATTATGATCTTGCTCATGACCCAGGCACTGAGGTAGGCCCTATGTTTTGTGCAGCTTTAAGTAAAGATCTTGTTTTTCAGGCTTTGGGTAAACGAGACACTGACATTTCATTCAAACAAGAAGAAAAGGAAGTTCCTCTTGTGACCAAAGGTAAAAAGCAAAACTCGGTGCACTTGTATTTGCTGTATGTTTGAGCACACATGCATGCTCAGGTAGGCTTAGGTGACGGCCTGAGCCATCAATCTGAAGTTTGTCAATAATAAGGATTTTTAAAAATTAAATGTATTGTTACAGAATTGGGAAAAGAGTTGGTTGGGTTGAAAACCTCAAGTATTTTGAAGGGACAGAAAAATCATTCTGCCAGAAAAGAGTGGCATGAACTCTACCACCAAGGCTGAGATTCCTAGGAGCAGAGTTATGCCTCCCTTCGGCTGCATTCTACATCGGGTTTGCTGAGGGCTGATATCAGGGCTATGATTTTCAGGATCTCTTTGGATAATTAGGATGATATCACCCTACTTTCAATTGTTCAGTCCCTTTCCAGCAGTTCATGTTTTCTCTGAGATAACTAAGTGCCTTTCAACAAATGTATCTCCACGGGATCCAAGTTATCTCAGGTGAGAGACTTAACTTACTTTAAATATCGTACTCATTTAAAATATTCAAATAAAATATTAAGTTGGTGCTTTCTAGCAGCAGGTCTCTCTAGCAAGGCTCCCTCTCACTCCTGTCGGCACCATCAACCCCAAGCCTTTTCTTACCGGTCTGTGTGCCTCTGCAGGCTTGCTCGTAGTGGTAGTCTTCCTGCCCGCTTCGCTGTTTAGGTAACGTAATCAGCTATTCACTCGTCACTTTCTATTTAGGCCCTTGAGAAAGACCTCTAAGAAATAACGCTTTTTCTTTTTCATCTTAATAAAGAGAGTTTGCAATTCTGCAATCGGGTTTGCCTCTTCTAAGGAGGACGTCTTCGTTTTAAAGTTGATCATTTATAAACGTTCCAAACTTACACTGTGCCTTCGAGTTTGGTCCTCTTGGGCTTTTAAGTTATAATGGAAAACCAATTCATACAATTCTGACCCTGAAATTCATCATTTAATTTTAAGCATTCATCCTGGATTTGCTAGGAACAAATTGGGAAATATTGTCAGATGGCTGTAATTACGGATTAGTTGACAAATGCGCTAGCACATTCATTTTGTGTGCATGTCAACGAGTAAAACAAAGGACGCCTGCTTGGAGGCTCGCAGGGATTCTCTCCTTCCATTTTTTTTTGTCTTTGTATTTTCCGAAAGGAAACCTGATGGTGTTGTGGTTACGCGTTAGACTGCTAACTGCAAGGCCAGCAGTTTGAAAACAGCAGCTACTTCATGGGGGAAAGACAGGGGTCTCTACTGATCTAAAGAGTTACAGTCTGAGACACTCACAGGGGCAGCACTGCCCTGTTTTATAGGGTGGCATTCATTTGAGGACAGCAAGTTTTGTTCTTTTTTTGGTAAAGGTGTCAGGTAAAGGTGTCATTACCTAAAATCGTCCTCATTGTTATACTGTTCCATATAGCCTTCAAGAGACTGAAACTTGTTGGTAAAAGTTATTTTGGTGGAACTGGCCATCACAAAGAGAGATAGGTGGAAGAAAGACACATAGGCTCATTGCTTATATTGTACCAACAAGACATTCAGTCAATGGTGCGCAAAGGGATTCCTGCTTCTGTGTGAGTTTAAACAAATCACTAACCTCGCTGGACCTAAAATTCTGAGGTTCACTGAGAGAGAAGACAGACTAGTACATGTTCCATAAAGATGTTTATAAACTTCCTTAAGAACCTATTGGTGTAACTTTACAAATGGGTGTTTGAATGCAGACCCAAATTATATATACGCAGTCAGTGAATTGCTAGCACTGTTTTTGGTTCAGGTTAATTCTGGTCACCAAAACCCTATTGTCTTCATTTTGTTTATGCTCTTTTGAAGAAAATCCGGAGCTGTGCAGTGTTGTTCCAAAAATACAGAGAAACTCTTCATTGCCTAACTCGAAAAGGTCAGTGTACTGCAATTACAGAAATTCCAAGTGAGCGCAATTATACTGTTGAAAAATCATCATCGATGTTTAAATACAAGAAAAAAAGAAAGTAATCGTAGCAAACAAATGCAATTAAGAATGGGACCAAGTTCTACTAAGGACACAGGCAAGATCAGAAGGCACTCTCTCCCCACCCCCCTCAAGGCTATATTTTCCAGTTACTCTTTATTTCCACTTTTTCCTTTTCAATTAGCAGTCATTATCAATATATCCTATTATATAGTTGGGTATATTGACCCCGAAGAAGTTGGTAGAATTCTTGTTCGTCACTAGCTTTCGTGGTTGGTATGTCATGTTAAATAATAGTATGTAAATTGAAATAATAATGGCATCAACGGCTCTTCCTTGCAGGCAAGTGGATGCTACCCTATCAATGGCGGCATTGTACTTCTGGAAATATATTGATGTTTTCTTTTTGACTGAATGTAGTGCTGTTTCTCTTGAGTTTGCTGTTTCTAGTGCATTGGACCACAGAATTGTCCAAATAAAAATGGCCAATATGAATGCGTGAAACCCAGATGGTATAGATAAAAGAAGAGCTTGTTTTTACTGCCTTTGCTATCAAAACAATCACTCTAACACTCAATTCTG